TAGTATCTGAAAATAAACTGCTTCGCTGAGCGCAGCTGGATACGCCCGCAGAGGTCCAACCCTGAACAGTTGGGGCAAAAATGGACACAATATTCAAGCTTGATACAGGTCTGAATTTGGATTGTAATTAAATATTTGACATATTATAGGTTTCTGAATAAATGTAGTCGAAGAACTTGAAATTGGTGATATGACTTGAATTTATATTCAATTAAAGATTTCTTGCTGTTGTTCAATACACTGTACTGTTGCGCAATACTTAGTAAATCTGTTGTCAGACTATAAACAAACAATAACTTCTCAATATTTTATCAGAAATTTATAAAAAACTAAAGGGAGGTTATCTTAATAGATATAAATCAGTCATCAAAGTTTAATGAAAACTGCTCTAAGCACTTTAAGGATATTGTCCAAAAACTTGAAAATCAATCCTTTTTTTTATTAAACAAATCTTATAACTCGGAAACGTAAAATCTGAAATTTATAAAAATCAAAAGGGAGCTTACAACAATAGATATAAACAATTTACCAAAGTTTCATAAAAAATGCTGAAAGCATTTTTGAGTTATTGTCCGAAAACTGGAAAATCCCCCTTTTTGAAAAGAATAAAACCCCATAAATCAGAAACGTATAGTCTAAAATTTAAAAAAATCAAAAGGGAGCTCATGTCGATAGCAATAAACAATTCACCAAAGTTTCTTGCAAATTGGTGAAATTGTTTTTGAGTTTTTGTCCAAAAACTGGAAAATCCCCCCCTATTTTAATGAATAAAACCCCAAAACTCGGAAACGGTAAATCCGAAATTTATAAAAGACGAAAGGGAGCTCACGTCAATAGATATAAACAATTCACCAAAGTTTTATGCATATTGGTTAAAGCGTTTTTGAGTTAATGTCCGACATGTTGACGACGGACGGACGGACAGACGGTCAACGGTATACCATAATACGTCCCGTAAACGGGCGTATAAAAACGGACTTAACCATGAAAATATAACGCCGACTTTGACCCATGAAATTGAAGTCAAGGTCAGATGTCCGACAGAACTGTACACCTTGCAATCATTCCATACACCAAACATAGTTAACCTATTGCTTATAGTATCTGAGAAACGAACTAAAGAACAAAACACTTAACATTTACCAGACTCATGAAAGAGGCAACTGAAACCTTTTAAACAGATATGTTCATCTTACAACATTCCATACACCAAATACATTTTACTTACATATAGTATGAGATATGGACTTGACCACGAAAACTTTACCTTGATCACTGATGCATAAAATGAGGTCAAACTGATAAAATCACCACTTTTAAGATATGATGAACAACTTTACCCAAAAGGAAGTCTTGTACTTCTTTCCTATCCCTCATCATTCCTTTGATCAACTTATAAGGCGGAGGATCGAAAACATCCATACCAAACTTATCCCCACTTCATATTGTTGATTTATTCTATATTTATATGAATCAAGTTCACTGTACACTGTGTATAAGAGTTCTATAGATCACCTTGAAACAGTTATAAGAAGCTAACAAGCGTTATAAAAATGTTATAGATAAAAGTTTACCAGGCCAATTGGAGAGCAGCTGGCAAAATCTATAAAATTTCTATAGATCAAGTATATCTGGACACATATGTATGTAAGAAGCTGACAAAATTCAATATATCTATAGGTCAAACACACCCCAACACACTGATTACTAGTAGTAGCAAACAAACTCTATAGCGTTTCTATAGATGAAACACACCCTAACACACTGATTAGTAGCTAACAAACTCTATAGCGTTTCTATAGATGAAACAGACCCTAACACACTGATTAGTAGCTGACAAACTCTATAGCATTTCCAAAAATCAAACACACCTGAACACAGATTATTAGATGACAAACAAGCATTTCTATAGCTCAAACGCACCCTAACACACTATTTTGTAGCTGACAAAATGTAATATTTCTATGAATCAAACACATAAAAGATTGATTAGTAGCTGAACAACTCTATAGCATTTCTTTAGATATAAGTACAACTTGTTCCTTTTTGAAATGACCAGAACATGGCTCAAACCCCAAGTATAATATTAATTATAAATAAACGAAGACTGTTCGACTAGTTGTAATTTAATGTTTGTTGATAAATATGTTCCAACATATGTAACAAAATATGTAAAATCTGTTTGTAATATAATAATTTTACAAACAGAATAAAAAAATTATACAGATAAAGTATATTTAAATAGATCTAATGTTGTCTTTTATAATATATTTCCAATAAACAAGTATTAGAATTCTCAGAATAAAAAGGTTAATTGATTTCTATAAATTGGTGGTAATAAATAATATAACCAGTTAAAAAAATTATGGCAATTAAAAATTAGCCCTTTCCCATTAAATATTTAAAAATTTACAATGTATATCAAAATCACATAACTATTATAAATAAAAATAAAAATACACACATTGTTAAGTGATAAAATATAATTCATTTGAAAGACAAATTTATAACAATATCATGAAAATATAATAAACAATTTTAATTATATAGTAACAATTTAACAAAAACAATTATTGATTGTCTGATAAATTCTGTCTCTTTTAATACCTGATAATATTACACAATATAAATATGTTGATCTGTAGATGTCTTTTGTTTTTATTTGAACTGTTAGGTTGCTGTCTCTTTAATGTATACCTTGCAACTGCTTTTGATTCATAAGAAAGACAAATTGTTTTAGCATAAAACAAAAATACTTTTTAAAATCTTTTCATATGAAAAAGTAAACAAGATTGCATCATAAAAAGAAAATTACATAAAAGCTTAATGAAAACTTAAAAGTAACCTGTAGTTTTTATCTTCCTTATGGTTTAGTTGTCTCATTAGAAATCCTTCCACACCTCTTTGTTTTCATATAAGATTTCTGTACAAAAATGTATAATTTGGTAATCACTTTCCCAAAATATCACTCAAAGCTAATGCTTAAAACAAAAGCCTGTCAAAACAAGAATAACATTTTAATTAGTACCATTGATAAAGCAATCAAGGACCATTACTCCTGATTAACAAAAGTGAAATTTGTTAATATCAAACTTGACCTCCATTTTGTCATTAGTAACAACATATATCAAAACTTAAAACGCATTAGTCAAAATTTTCTCAACTTATTGCAATGGAAATGACTTAAAATGCCATTTTCCAATCAATCAAGGACCATAACTCCTGAAAAGCAAAAGGGAAAATCATCAATATCCACCTTGACCTCCATTGTGTTATCAGTAACAATATATTAAAATTTGAAAAAAAACTTGGTTGATCAGATCTCAAGTTATTGTATAAAGTGGCATTTTCAAATCAATCAAGGACCATAACTCCCGAACCGCAATAGTGACCACCATCAATATGAAAGATGACCTACAATTTGTCATCAGTAACAACATAATAATATTTGAAAAGCATCAATGTAAGGTTTATTAGTTATTGCACAGAAACAAATGGAGATAAGCATCCACATGCCCTACCCTTCTGTTGTACAACCCCAAATCAATAACTGGAAATCCAATGGAAAACATGTGAAAAATTAATTGTGAAATATAAAAAATACTTTCATTTACTTATTCACATGAATTAGAGAAATCAAGCACTTAAAAAAAAAACAGGAAATAAAATTTACATATGAGAGAAGAACAATTGACTTCATGCAATTAACAGGAACAAGCATATATAAATAAGGAAAACCAACTGTAATACACATATTTAACATAACTATAGTGTGCAAATAACAATCTGTGGATTAATATTTATAGCTTTCTTCGCATATCTCATCAAATATACTAAATATTAATGTGATTCCATAGTCTATTAAAAACAGCATGCTGTGAAAAAGTCTTTCTCACAACTGTCAAAAACAAATAATAGTAGCAAGTCAAATAAAAAATTTATAAGCGGTTCCTCGAAACCCAGTATCTCGCCTGCTATTTGCTGCTGTCAGTGTAAAAGTGTTATATTGACTTTAAAAAGTGAGTCCATTTATCAGTACAATACAGATATTAAAAAATAATTCAAACTTTTTCTTTAGATGCTATTTCTTGGTATTGAAGATTAGCTAATCTGTCCAAGTTTCATAACAATCCATGAAGGTTTACAAATTTATCATGTCAAACAAATTTAATCCAAGACTGTCTGTAAATGTTTACTGTAAAATAACTAGGTCAATCTATCAGAAAAATACTGAAAATGAAATAAAAACATATTTTAAAAAGTTTGCTTCAGACATTATCTCTTAATCATAAAAAAGCTTCTGCCAAAGTTTCATAAAATTATATAAAGCTTTGACAAAGTAATTGACCTGTAACAAACTTTAATCCCAGACTGTATCAACTTGGTAACTGTTAAATAACTAAGTACATTTATCAGTAAAATATGGAAAAATGAAAATGAATATTTTCAAAATTTCACTCTGGATACTTTATTTTGGTCATAAACATCTTAGCTTCTGTCCAAATTTCATAAAATTCCATGAAGGTTTGACAAAGTTAATAATGTCTAAAAACACGTTAACCACAGACTGAACCTAAATGTTGATGATGCTGACGCCGACGACAGAATCTAGGATCGCTATGTCTCGCTTTCTCGACAAAAATATTAAATAGTTTAAAAATCATATATTTTATATTTTTGAAACTACCCTTTTCAAAAGAGATATAGTTGAAGACAATAATAACTTTGAAAGCATTAATGAACTAAAAAGAGTCATGCTTTGAAATTGGAATCTTTTTAATACAAAAAAAACCTACACATTGCACAATTATAGTGTAAAAAAAGTTAAGACACTTACCCTGTTTAAAAGAACACAATTAATAAAAAAACAGTAATAATTAATAAAATTTCATAACAAAGAATTAAATGTTTCTAAAAATATTTACCAGTATTACACTATTACTGCATGAAAAAAATTAAAACTAATGATTACAAATTTAAGTTATTCCCATTTTTTTATATTGTTTACTGTAATATTTTTGTAGTTCAATGTAAATGGGTAAACCCTCTATATAGGCAAAAACTAAGAAAGAAAATTAGTTTAAATGATCTTGATTGATTGAATGTTCATTGACTGCATAATTTCCAATCACAAATATTTCATACATTTTCAGGATGATCAATTTTCTTGTCAAAAGTGAAATATTGCAGATTCTTAATTATTCGTGGGATACTAATTTTTGTGGATTTCGTGGGTATAGGTGAACCATGACTTTCAACATTCAACAAAGTATAAGTTTCTATAGACTTGTATGCAGACTTTGGCAAAAAAACAAAATCAAATATCTACGAAAATACAATTTTTCCTCAGTCCACGAAAATTGGTTTCAACAAAAATAAATGAATCCACAGTAGGGCAAAAATATTAAACCCATCTTAAATAGAAAATTATAGAAAAAAATCAGAAAACCAATAAAAGAAAACAAATATTTTCCTTTTGATCATACTGTAGAAATGATTAATGACTTATTTGATTGACAATTGAATGGTAACTTCTATGATGTATCAATATCAAGTACTAATTCAATCTAATGCCCACATTATCTACATCTGCTACTTTTGATCGTTAAATTATATGTTAATTTGTCTTACAGCATCTGTAATTACATGTAAGTGTCATATTAACATCAATTTCTGTATTCTATATAGTAATTGTCTTTACAGCTTCAATAGTTTTATAGTGATGAAAACTGCTTTGTATATCTTTAACTCAATAGATTCATCAGAATCTCTCAAAGCCTTACTCCTGGTTTAGAAGTGTTATCCCTTAACTTAAGTCATTTTATCCAAGACTAATCTCTCAAATACTTAACTTCATTTAATTTATTTTAATAAGAATCTTACTAATTCTATCTTATAAATATCTTGTTACATTGTTTAACATTCTTCGCTATGCCTATCAATTTATTTCCCAGTTTTAACCATTTTCCTTGTTAATTCTGCCACAAGTTTTTTGTTTAAATTCATAAACGTTCTATGTCTAACAACCTCTGCCATATGATTCTGCATAAAAAGTTCACACACATCTTTCATGTTATCTGAAATCATAAAACAAGTATTTAAATGATTGATTGATTGATTGTTGTTTGTTTTACATCCAGTGGTGTTTCTCATTTAAATTGTTGCCTCAATCTAATGATGGAAGTAATAACTTTGTATTTATGTACTAGAGAAAATAAAAGAACAGCATTTAAATTACCCCGGTCAATGCAAATATTTTTCTGCCCAAGGGAAATAACTCCAATTTGTAGGTGTGAGATCACTAACAGTGCATTGCTTAATATAATTTTTGTTTCCAAGTGGCATAATAACCAACTGTAAAAACAGATGATCAGCACTGATTATCCAACTAGTCCAAAAACTTGCAAAAATAAACCTTTGATAAGGATTTCATAAAAGTCTGACAAAAAAAATAGGCGTAAGAGTTCTTACTATGCAATATTCTTGATTAACACCATTATAATATTCTTTATTTGACCTTTTGATCTATGTCGCTGAACACATTGCAGGCAGAGTTGCCTCGATGTTATAGAAGCATAGGTTGTAATCCCACTGTGGAAGGACAAATAAGCAGATCAGACATTATTGGGCTAAATTTGAGATGCTGTTATACATACTGGTTGGTATGATGTTTCTTTTGAAAAATATTCCATTCGATTCCTCTTTGTAATTCTTGCTGTAAAAAGATTTTGGCTTCAAATTATTTTCCATAAATTCAAGGAACAGATGTTTGATTGTGATTTAAAAATTCAGGCATCAACCCGTACGAAATATTTAGCAGGATTCCTACCAGACTATAGCAGGAATTCACACGGAATTAGCAGGAAATTTTAAATTCCTGTTACTTTTTAGACATACTAGGAAAAACTTCAGTTTTTCTGACAGGATTTTTCACTTTCCTACAACAACATTCCTGGTTTGGGTAACAGGAATATTTTTTCCTGCCAGAAAATCTTTCTACCAGGAATGTTTTCTTATCTAAGCAGGATTATTATCTTGACTGCTGTTGGTTTGTATTCAATTATCTTTAACTGGATTCCGGTTTGCTTATAACATTTATTTTGCTGTGTAATAAGAGACCAGGTTCCAGTTAACAAATTCAAAAGTTGGAGGGTAAAAGATTCAGATTGTGTATAAACAATACTGCAAAGATTGAATAATTACCATGAGGGAAATATTTGAATGTAAGACAGGATTGCTTATGAAGGTATTTAAATTTAAGCTACATTTTTTCATGTTTTAGAGGAAGTTTTTAATTTCTAATTTGCATGATAGTCAAATTAATTCAACTTATCGAAAAATGGAAATCTAAGTCTTCAATCATATTTTGTCTAATATATATTATAAGTTCATCTGATCTACATTTTTGTTGTAAACATATATACCAATACTTTAAAAAAAAAAAATTGAGAGTGAACAAAAAAACTGATACATCTATTTCCATCATAATTAAATTCAAAAACACATTACAAACCTGGTTTATAACACAACTTTCATATGTGGTAGCTACTTCAAAAATCTAAGTGTCAAATTTTGTAACAAGAATTTTTAACATGTATTTTTTCTTTGTTCTTTGTGGCTAAGATTCAAACTAATGAATGACCCAGTTGTGTATATGTGTATACACCTAAGTTTGTAATGTATATTTTTAGATTCCTGCTAGAAAATCAATTTTCCTGGTAGGAATTTATGAAAAAAATCCTACCAGGAATATTCAAATTAGCAGGAAAATTTGTAGGAATTTTACTTTCCTACCAAATTATTCCTGCTAATTTGAATATTCCTGGTAGGAATCACATTATTCCTACTAAGAAAATCCTGCTAATTTAAATTTTTCGGCTGTTTTTCCTGGCGGATTCCTGCTACAATCAAGCAGGAATAGGCACACTTTCCTGGTAGGAATTCTTAACAAATTCCTACTAGATTCCTTGTACATTCCTGTAGGACCAGTTCGTACAGGAATTTATGACAGCTTTTGGCCTGTTCCTTTTTAAAATTTCATTTGAACCCAAAATAAGACTATGAAAATTGAGCTCTGAAGCATACAATTCTTGCCAGATTTTTATGAAATTGATATCAAAGGTTTATATCAGCAGTAAATTTGGAAATCAGTGCCAATCAACTATTTTTAAAGGAGTTCTGTCCCTTGGAAATATAAATTATATGGTATATCGCACTGTAAGTAATCTGAAGCCTACATTTTTTTGTAGGATTTTTTGTGTCAAGGAAAGCAAGACATAGTTGATGCTTTGACGGCCGCGACGGCAGAGGATGCGTCAACAATTGTTGAGTTTTCTGCAGAAGTCAGTTTGATAGGAACTACTTGTGATAGATCAATGATACTTTCTATAAAGTTGCATTACTATCAGTACATATCAGTTTGACAACTATTTTGAGGCCCTGCCCCCTAAGTCAAGGTCCAGCGACTTTCAATTATTAAGCAATTTTCAATGTTAAGTTTTCTGCTTAAACTAGTTTTATAAGAACTACTTGTGATAGATCAATGATATTTTCTACAAGTTGCATAAATGACATCTTTGGGATCATCACGTTCAACAGAAAGATGTCTTGGACTTACCACTAACAGGAAGTCCGTATATCACATTTTGATAAATATCTATAACATTGTCTATTGTTAATGAAGTATTCAGTTGTAAGATAGCCAGCGCCTTTAAACCATCCATAGCAAATCTATCAGCAACTAAAAACAAGGTAAATTAGGATTACATAAAATACACCAAATATAAGTTATTCTGTGAAATTGAGGGAGTGTATATAAATTACTAAGTATGATTTTTATTTTATTTGTGTTTAATAGACTTGTGTAAATTGTATACAAAGTTGGATATTTAATATTTTCATGACTCTGAAATAGTTAGATTTTAATATGTAAATATAATTCTAAGGGAACAGCCATTTAACTTCAAGGCGGGTGTGGGTTATGGTTTTTTCCTAAAAAAATATTCTGATCCCAATTTGATGAAAAAAAATATTGTGGACAAGCAGATCACAAAAAAAAAAATTCTGAATCCAGATTTTCCCCATGCCTTATAGTGTTAAATTTGAAAAAAATAATTTTGATTGATAGCGTTGAAAAACTAAAAAAAAATGTGTGCGCTTTGCACGAAAAAAAATTTCTGACTCAGACAAAAAACAATAACCCCCCCTCAAAGTTAAATGATTGCTCCCTTATACAATCTCAAGAAAGAAAATAAACTGTAAGATTTAATGGAAGTTTATCAATCATTTTAAGCTTCTTTTTTACACATAGATTTCTGCCTATCATTATCGTCATCATCATAAAAAAAACTTGTTATAAAAAGATTTTTTTTATGGAATGTGAATCTTTAGTGAAGTAATTTAATACTCAATTGTAGGCAAATTGATATTTTTGTATTTCTAATCAATAATTACTTTCTAATATATCATAGTAAAAGTTGTAAGGTAAGTATATATCCTTAACTTACTTCTCCAGACATGTGGTAGAACATGTGGTGAACAAAATGGTCGAATTCTGTTTGTGTATACATAATGTAATACAACAGCAAATACTCCTGGCTCAACATCCTTCAGTTTTATTGGTGACTGAGCCTAAATTGACCAAATAAATAGGGTTATAACATTTAAATTTATCATTCTGTTTCAAATATTAGCAAAAAAATAAGTATATGTCAATTATACCTCTTTCATGACAGGCATTTCTGATAGCATATGTATATGAATAAAATTATGATTTTAATTGATACCCCTTTAGGTTTACCTTCTAAAATAACTTTCAATTTACCTTCACAAGAAATAATACTTTTCAATTGAAAGAAACTCTCATGGTTTCTTGAAAAAACATCTTCAACACTCACACAAAAATAAAGTAAAGAACTCAATTAAAAAATTATCATCAGGCAATGGTCAATTTATTTGACTTGACCTTGAATGACTTTTTATTTTTCATTTATAAAGAAGACCTAAGAGTCTCTCTATGAATGGTCCTTTACTACAGCTATACCTGGGTTTGTTGTTGGTTGTAATATTGAGCTGGTCCAGGCACTTGTCCAGACACTGGTCCTGAGGGCATCTCAGGTTGGTATTGAGTTACAGAGTCATACGATGGAAGTGCATTACACATCTGTTCAGGTTGATACACTTCTTCAGATGGCAGGGGAGGGGCAGTTGGTTGTGTTGTTCCTTGTCCATGAGCCTAGAGAAAGATAAAAATTATACTCATACATGTATATATATCAATACTCTAATTTTCAGCTTAGTGATACTTTAATTTTCTTGCTGTCTTTGGGGTTAGTTATTATGACACAGTGAATAAAGGCAATCATGCATAGTAGGATCACCCTTTAAATGAATTTGTTAATTATTTTTGTAGATCATCAGAGGGAAATTAAAAAAAAATATCTACAAATAGTCTAAAAATTAGTATATAATAGAAACAGATTCTTCTGCCACTTCTTGTATGATCATAATCCCACCACTTTCAACAGTTAAATTTCTATCATTTAAAACACTAGGCACTCCTGGTGTATGGTCTTCAGTGGCTGAGAGGTATGTAGTTCATCTACAGCGATCACTAGCCTATCAACTTTAAGGTTGTGAGTTCAAACTCCACTCATATTGAGGTGTGTTTGACTCCTATCTTAATTGACAAGGATTGCCAGTCTTCCTTTGAAGGTCAGTGGTTTTCTGCGGCTTCTTCCACCAATAAAAACTGGCCTACATGATACACCCAAGAGCACTGAAAGTGGTAATAAACACCAACAAACAACCCTGATGTATGTTTTTCTATTAACCTATTGTTATTTCTCTTGATAATGATTAAAAAAGAGGGAAGAGTGAGTACTAAAAAAACCCCTAGTTTAATACAGCATCATTTAGGTGTGTCTAGTCTAGTTCAGAAAACTTAATCAGCAGTGGTTATCTTTTATTATATTATGGTGTTTTTCAACTAATAGATTTCCGTGTTGAAAACAAATCTGGAGTAGTCTCTTTTAAATTTTATTCACAACCCTCCTAGAATCTAGGTTATTCCGAGTTTGACATATGGTATGGTATAGTCACGCTTATCTTTTATTGTTGGGGACAGTAGTTTGTACACCTATCAACGTTTTTGTTTTAGGCTATAAAGTTACTGTTTGGTAGCTTGAATACCATTTTCCTTACTCTTGGTGTCTTTTGGTTTTTTTTTGTGTTGTCTCATTTAAATTAATTTAGAACTTGTCTAGACTCTGGACAATTTATGGCTCACTGACCTATGCTACTTGCACCTGTATTTGTTCCAGACAGAATGTTGACCTCAAGATGTCTTTTGTGCACTTATTTTATTGTTGGGTTGTTTTCTTATTGATGAATTCCCACATATATCATTTCATTCTTTTCTAAAGTTATCTAAATCTTCCTAACAATTTTGATATCAACTCTTACCCTTGAACCATTTTCTTCAAAATGAATCATAGCCCTGAAGTACTCAGATCTGATACACAAGATGGCTCTGTGAGCAAGGAATTTAACTCCATTTACATCAAACTGGATATCACTAAACACTGAACTATTGACAAGTTTGGCTAAATCATTCGTGATATCATTTGGTGCTGGTGGGATGTCTAAAATAAATCAGTTGGTTTTAAATAATGTATGACATTATACATGTATAATGAATCACACAAAGTCTACATTCATTTATAGAAATCTAAAGAAATGATTCAGTTTTCCATTGGCTTCTGACTAGATAATAGTGAAGGGATTTGTTTTCAACAGCATCTAAAGAACAAAAGAAATGTACTGTTAATGTGCTTATCTATTATTTCATGAAACTTGTAATGTTAAAAAATGAACATGTATACAAATAGTTCAAATTCAAAGACATCTAAAAAATGTCTACCGATAAAAAAAATATTCCTTTCAATCTTGTGTACCGTAAGTTGAAAAGTAAACTTATGGTCCTATACTATGGCCACAAATGGTGCAACTAATTTCATGATAATGAAGAGACACAGGGGGGATTCTGAATGGAAAATGTAGTACAAAAATTTAATCTGTCAGAAACCTATAAAACTATAGACTATGTCAGATTTGTAAGCAACGAAGGGTCAATTGTCAAATTTGTATAATAAAGCAATCATGACAAAAATCTTGAATGATAATGAGGACTATCATCAATAAAATATAGCATGTTCCAAAAATTCTTTAATTGTGTAAAATTTTCATTAGCATCAATGAAAAAATGTTGTTTGACAAAAGATAAAACTCTATCCGCATATTGTAAAAGTAATTTTGGTACATGATCATAATTCAGTGATAAGATAAACTCTAATGTATTTAACAGGGTATTTTGTACATTCTCTAGACAATTTACAGCTTTAGGAATGAAGAAATTGCTTTGGACAAGTTATTCTTATTAATCAACATTTCCTAGAAATTCTTTTGTTGGCTAAATCAGCTAAGTTCCATTCAGGGTTATCTTTACTTGAATATCAAAGATTTTAAACTGTTAAAATTCTGAATAAGCTGGTGATATGTGTGTTTATTGCTAATCACGGATGTTCACTTGTCATTTTTTAATTTTTTTGTTAGATATTTGGAATTCTCTGGTTGTACCCATGTAGTGCCATTAACTGTATGTGCCCCCTAACCCCTACTTTTTCTTTTCATAATTTCATAATATATAGTTTAAAAATCCATTTTTAAAATTCTTATAAAACCTTGTTATTTTGTCATAGTTTTTGAAAGAAAAAAAGTAACATTGTTAAATGTATGAAAAACAAAGAGAGAATCTTTTCAAAGGCTTAAATCTCAAAAACAAGGACAGGGACCTTTAATTTTTTCTGCTTTTTTAGTTCTGTTATTTACATACTATCAATTTATAGCAGTTTTTTAAAAAGCTTGTTATTTTGAAACAGACCAGTGAACATCCTTAAATAGTGTATTTAATATTGTATCATAATTCATATGAATTAAATTACATTTGGTCTGTGTTATAAATAACGTACTTTCAATTTGTAGTTGAAAAAAGAAGTTCATTTGTGTAAAATAGTTTTTATTTGAAAATTGGTATGCAGATTGTTTTTTTTATTTCTTTGTTTCTTTTGGAAATCAAGATAAATTGTTATTCTATGTTATCATGAAAGTCAAAAGAAATAATAATGATTGAGAATTTTTTTAAACTTTCGTGTCTGTTTATTATCTAGATCAATTTTTCCAAACGGCACATGCAAATGCACAGCTTAAAAAAACCTATGTAATAAAAAACAATAATAATATGTGCATGAGTTGAATCTTTTATTGAATATTAAACTAACCATAGATTATCAATTAATAAATAAATTTTTATTACTTAATTATAATCCAGTGCCCTTTCCAGTTTATCCTGCAATCAGCCAACTATTGTACAAATAGCAGGTACACAAATAAATTTTTGCTTTATTTGTACTTGTACAAATAAAGTCTCCTGTTACCCCTCTTCCATGTTGAGCAAGCGGTAATGTGAATATTTCTTTTTGTGTACCAGTTCATTTTGGGGTCCTCTTCGCGGTCCGTGATTAAACAATGTCGATTTCTTTGAAAAATTAGAGACAATGATTTAGATTTTAACAACTAAAGTTTCAAGTGTTGGGTGTAAATTTCAGGATAAAAACAATATATGTACATTGTCGGAAAATATAAAATTTATTTGTACTCGCTGGGAAACAGGAGAAAAGCTCGGCGAGCCTCACTTTTCGTCCTGTTTCTAAAGCTCATACAAATAAATTTTATATTTTCCGACAATGTACATATATTGTATATTTATTTCAAAAGTCCTCAGATCTAGATGTTCTAGACACTTTTTGAATGAACTCAGATTAGATTGCTTTAACTTACTTACCAAAATTGAACTTAGTTCCTGAGATTTTGATGGCATCAATTTCCACCCATGATCCAGATACAGTACAATCAACATTAATTCTCAGTGCGTTACATCGAAAATTCAATTTCTGTAGAAATAACAAAAAGATAAGTTGTGCATGTTCATAAATATGGTGTATCTGGTATTTCACGTTTTTGTTATATTGTGCATTATATAAAGTAATAGAATAAAACCCTAAATGCATTTACATAACAAAAAGTGATGCTTGCTATTTTTCTATCAGGGCTTTTTCACAAAAGCCCTGATATTATTTTCATATTGACCTAACCCTCTAGTCTAGAAAACAAACCCATTCTAAAATGACCATAAATAGCACCACAATGATGTCCCAGATTACAACACTAAAATCTTTAGAAGATCATAATTCGAAAAATGAATGGATCAAAACCATTTCTGAAGACATTAAGAAAGTAACAACCATTTCCTGCCTTATAAACATTCTGTCTAAAGCTTTATTATCAAACAAAACAACCAATCCTTCAAACTAAAGTTGAGTAATATGCAGTAAAACTTTCAGTTCAAATAAACAGATGGAAAGAAGAACATATAGACTGATAGACTAAATGGATGCAGTAAAACACCAGCTGAGACTTTTTCAAACAAGGTCCTTAAAATTCTCTACTGAAATTTGTATTTCTTACTTAACAGATATTTTTTTCCAGGTCCAGGAATATAATTCAACAATATCATAACATTAATATATATTTGTTTTATAAGTGAATGAGAACATTACTAGCTAGTACTTTTCATGCTGTCAGCAGGTTTGTTAGATATAAACTATTTATTTATTACTTTTCTCCATGGTATGATTTGTGGTGCTAGAGTTATTGTGCATTTGTATAGGCTATGTTTGTGGTTATGTTACTCAGCAGTGAAGTGCATGTGCCTTTAACAAGTACAAATGTAATAGTAGTGAATGGCAGAGGTTAAATTTAATACAGAATGGTAGAAACTAAGATCCTGGTTTCAAATTTAAGTGAAAAACAGATTTATCACATTATCCGAATCTTTATGAACTTTTCAGGAATTTTACACAGTGCTTAAGGAGGACAGTTAATTGTTACATAAAACTTTGATCAAGCTTAAACAATAGTTAGTATTAACGGGTCTTTGCTCACTGCTGATTACACACTAGCAATTAACTTTCCAGTTTATATTCAATTCAGGTTAATTCCGTTTGTCCTTTTAGTTTCTACTAAAGTCTAAATTTAAAGCAAAAGGCTTGAAATTCCACCTGAAATGATGGTGAAAATATCCTACTGCTGTTCTGACAGAATGCCCTTGTTGTCTCCCACACCGTACACCACTCTCCATTTGGACGTTTGGCTAAAATTTTCTTCACTGCTCCTGCATGATATGTCTCATAAATATCTATTTTTTCTATGAAAATCTTTTCTGCAAATTCTACCTAAAACAGGAAACGAACAATATCAATAATATTTTTGAACATTTAGGGAAATTAAGTTTCTTTTAGTGTTTAATGTTTAACAGTCTGAAATGAAAGGTACATGTCCAAAATTTGAATAACGATAGATCCAGTAAAAATTGCAACACATACCAGATGAGGATCCAGGATTTTAAAAAAGGGGGCCCACAAACTAGGCAACGTTAGGTGTGGAACATGTTAAAACTCTACGCATTAAGCATATATGTAGCTCCATAAGAGGGTCCCGAGCCCCCTGCACCCCCCTCCCCCACAAAAAAAAAATCCCTCCATGCATACAACATAATCAAGATGCAGGATCATTTTATCACCGTTGCCAAGATTTGTATGTATCTCTACAGACAACATAAAAAATTTTAATACTGTCAAATATACTTTTAAACTACAACAATTTTTAAAATCATTTATTCTGATATATGAAATTTACCTCAACAAACTGATTAGCATCTAAGGTCCCCTGGGCCCATGATCCTGATATATCACCATACTTTGGATAGACTCTTGGTTCTCCAGCAATACAAGATGCAGGCCAGCTGACAAATTAAAAATACTCATGACAAACATACCTTCAAATACAAACTAAAAATTACAAATTAAACAGCTTAAAAAACAAACTGGAAGGCATATCATTTTACCATCCAAAGTTGAACAGCCACAGTTATTGCAGAAAGGCATAAATTATAGCAAAATGAAATGCTTCAGGAAATACAATTATACTATAATAATAACAATGTAATTATATTGTTTTCATACCACAGTACTTAAATCAACAATGGCTGATCATGCATAACTAGTAGCAACATAAGCTAAAAGTTGTTTTTATGTATATTTTTCTTAAAATAATAAAGATAATTACAATGAAACTTCAAAAAAAGAAATATTTAAAAATTTGTAAACATTAATTCATTTTTGTATTGTAAATAAATAACTTACGAGTTATCATCATATTGGGAAGAATAGTTAACAACTCTGGATACCCACTGGTCAACATTGTTTGGGTTATGCTCTGGCTGGTTATTGATAACTGGCGAAGGTGCTGTCTGGTTGTGAGGATATGGTACTGTTCCAGTAATTTTTATAGCATCAATTTCCACCCATGATTTTGATGCTGTACAGTCTATATTAATCCTCAAAACCTTACATAGAAATGAAAGTCTCTGAAAAATTCAAGAAACATTAAAAGCTGGTGTTATATATTAAAGTTTAAAATTAAAAACATACATTTAATTAATTAAAGAACCTATTTGAGCACACTCACATACCCCCTCCCCCACGTTGTCACTGGGCAAACAAAATCTCACCAGATTCCTGAGTTCAAAGACTCATAACTCCTACAAAAGTCAACTGCTAAAAATTTCTTGTGAATATGCACATCTGCATAAATATCTCCTTATCATCTACAAAGTTTCATAAAATTTTGATTTGTTGTTAAAGAGGAGTTGCGATAACAAACTGTTGCAGTAGTATATTGAGGCCAAAATTCTAAGTTTAAAGTGGCTTAACTCCTAGGAAAAAAAATTGAAGCCTAATTTTCTGTAAATATGCACATCTACATAGTATGTCCTTATTATCTACATAGTTTCATGAAATTCTGTTTCAGAGGAGTTGCATTGACAAACCGTTGCAGCAGTACATTTAGACCAAAAGGGGCATATGATAACTCATAGAAAAAAAATTGAATCATAATTTCCTGTTGATATGCACATCTACATAGTATGTCCTTATCTACATAGTTTCATGAAATTCTGTTGTGTGGTTTCAGAGGAGTTGTGATGACAAGAACAGGACTGACGGATGTACAGGTCAAAAACATTATACCCTTACGGAACTATTATTATGTGCATGTAAATTTTGTGATTTCAGAGAGTTGTATTAATTTGTCAGAGGACAGTTGATATCATGCTCTTGTAATAATATCTTACTTTCTTAACTATTAGAAATGTGTATTATGCTGGAGTTTTTTAATTGAAGAATTGATTGTGTTAATGAAATACAATTAAGTTATCCATTCAAGATTTGTATGATCTGTCCAACATTCATTTACAAAAAATCTATCATTTCATTAAAATAACTTCTTTTTGTGAACACTGGTGTTGCAGTCAAAAACATAAATATATATATATTTAAAATGTTATTGCAACTGGTCAATTCAAAGAATTTTATCTACACTACAACTACTTAAATTTTGAAATCAATAATACTGCTCAGCTTGCTTCATTTGACTCTATTTTAGATTTTACAACTTGGTTTTAAAACTGCATGGACATTTTTTGTTAAAGTTCTGTGTAAAATCTAATTACAAGCATAAGAAAAAAGACATGCATCATCCTATTTCTGTTGTAAAGTCTTTCAATAAAAGATGACATAGATTTATCTTATATCTTATTGACTTAAAAAACACTGTTAGAATACAATTTGATTTTAAACTGATTTTAAACTGATTTCATTGTTTTAAAGTTTATTTATAAAATGGATTAAATTATTTTCAAATTTCAAATCAAAATTAAGATTTTGTTAAATCTTGAAAGTTACCTGATATAAAATGAAAATCTTTTACAACTTATATCATACACAAGAATTTAAAGGTACAAATATAAGCATATTACCTTTAAATCTGGTGAAAATATTCTGCTGCAGTTCATGTTAGTAACTGATTTTGTGTTCCATATAACTTCATAATTATTGTTTGGTTTCCTAGCAGAAATTGATTTTACAGCCCCAGCATGGTAGGTTTCATATATTTCTATCTTTTGTATGTAGATTTCTTGTTCAAATTCCACCTAAAATTTTATAAAATAAACTGTTGATATATGTCTCGCCTGTATGTAATTTGATAGTAAAATGCAAATGTTGATTTTATAATGGCAATACTTTAACATGTAAACTATGCAAAACATCCAAAACAATGAACTTTGACTGAAGGTGCAGGGCCAAAAGTATCAGTGGAAATGGGATATACCAATCCTAATACAACTTTATACCAACTATCATTGACTTATCATACATAGTTCACTTTAAACTGGCCTTATTAAATCACAAAGTCAATGAACCATGGTGGAGGGGTCGAGCCCAATAATCTCAATGCAAATAAGATATGCCAATGCAAATACACCATATGAAAATATCCTCATTCTCTATAAAAAAAAAACCTAAGGTCACTGTATATTTGGCATTCGAGAAAAAGGATAACTCTTTTCACCTCACAGCAAGCTTTACAGGATGCCCTCTTAACAAGAATACAATTAAACTAAGGAATTAAAATTTGTTTGAAAAAAAAAATATATCTAACAAAAATTTGTAATCAAAGAATGAAAATTCTAAAGTGGTCTAGCTTAATTATTATATTATTGATATAAATATCTTAAAATAGTTAAATTATGACTGATAAAGAAAACATTTATGAATACATAATGTATGAATATAAACTGCCTTTATATTTGTATCATCAGCAACACCAAAAATACAGTACTGACAACACTCCATGTATGAGTATTCAATGTGATGGCTTTCCATATACAGATTAAGGAGTTGTTGAAATACTGAAGTTTTATCTGTATCATAAAAAAATTCAAGTTTTGCCATACCTCAATAAACTGTTTTGAATCTTTTTGTCCTTGGGCCCATGCTCCAGGAATATCACCATATTTTGGGTATACTCGAGGTTTACCTATTATACTATCAGCTGCCCAACTGAAAGGAAATATATCAACCAATCAAGTTTTTGTGTTTTACATGCAATATCAATATATATATGCAAAAAATGGAATAAAACAAGATATGGACAACATCAATGAGACAGAGAGACCTAGATAACTAAAATATACATCTAGGGGTTTATTCCTGGTTACCTAACCTTAAGGTCTTTTCCTATGACACATTTTATGACAAACTCTAAATTTCAAAAAGTATGGACAAGATGTGAATAAAGAACAAAATTCCCTTTAGGAACAATATGGCCTTTGATTTCAAATTTATCATAAAATATCAAAAAGGCCACAGTAATGGTTCTTAAATGGATCTATTTCAAAAGTTTTAATGCTCAAGCTAAAAAAAATCTATTTACAAAAGTATGTTGTACTGGCTACAAAGTCATCACAATTTGGAGATAACTGGAGATATTGTCAAAATATTATGATTTTGTGGCGTTTGTGCCTTTTTTCAGGCTTTTAACCTTAGTGAAAAGCTTAGCCAAAACCTACAATCCAAAATATTATGTAACCAAAAGGTGTCAAGATTTATATTTAACCCATTGATATAATAGTTATCTGGATCAGGGATTGAGCACTACCAAAGTTAATTAGGCTAAAAAAAATTATAGTATTTTGGCTTGATTATGAAAAATTAAACTCTTAGGACCAATCTTATCCCTTCGTGAACTACTCCTCCAAAAGAATAACTGAATTAAATACATAACTCTAAATAGACATAAACAATCAAAACAGCCACAACCACTCACTTGAGACAGGTAAAATTTAAACAAGTGTCAGAATTAAAGTGATTGTACTCTTTAATAAATATTTAATATAATTCATAATAGGATTTCTCATATTTTATGAGGTTTCATCAAAAAGTTCATGTCTTTTACTTTTATAAATGAGATAGCTTATAAATCAAAGTGTTTGTTTAAACATTGAATCACAATGGAACACTTTTTGGTAATGATTGGAATTGAATTGGAGTTATCTTTCCTTGTCCATAATTGCACTTGAACTTGAGTTTTTATTTTGTTTTTTTTTTAGAACAGATAGATTCAAACACAATGCAGAACTTGCAAAATTTTTAATAAAATAACTATCTTAACAAGTATGGTGACATGCATTATATATATATCATTTTGTAACTTGAATATCTGAGTATATATATCATTAATCAATTGCTTGACATGGGTATGGAGATGATCTTCATCTCAATGCATAATTGTGTTTGAACTCTCAAAGGTAGAGATGAGGATTTAAAGATATATCGTTATCAAGCTAATATTAAAGGGTTTTGATAGTTGCATTTCATGCAAACTTCACCCAAAAATGGATGTTATAAATAATATGAGATATCTTGAACATTGAATAAATACAAATATTAAGTGCCATAGACATAAATGTTTCTGTTATATAACACCTTCAATTACGGTGCCTGTTTTGCAATTTTTTTCACCAGATAAAAATTTTCATATTTACTTTAATATTGCCTTAAGCATGACATTTGAAGTTATGATCTTTAATAAATTAAGGCATATGTAGGACCTTAAGTTTTCATATATCTGTATATATGTAAAGCAATGCATATATTTAGTTATGTTCTATTAATGGATGATGTTCCATCATGAAAACAATAGCAATTTCTTTAATATCCAAATCACAATGTCATGCATGTTGAATCTGCAGACTGTGAGTACCACATTCTATACAACAACACAAAGTTACACAATGTAATGATCTCACTACAACAGGCCATGTAAAAGTTAATTCTTACATGGACTACTGTAGTTAAATTATCACATAGATTATTAAAATGAAATCATTAAAACAGAATAAGATCATTACATGATGGACTCCAATATAGCATCAAAGTCATTAAAGACAATATGAAATTATAGTTGCAGAATAAATACAGTTAGTATAGATACCTGAAACTGATACTTTAATCATGAGCTATTGCCTATCAATTTCGGTCATTAACCATCTTTATTGATCAAAACAGGCTGCATGTATTGGATATGTAATACATTCGTACTTACTTCCCACTGTTATACTGTGATGAATAACTGATCACACGGGAAACCCACTGTTCTTTAAGTTCTCCAGTCATTGTTGTTTGCATTACTGTTTCACTACAAATATCAGTGAATTTAACAAATTTGTATATGATATGAGATGGAACAAGAATATGTCCATAGTACATGGATGCCTCACTCGCACTATCATTTTCTATGTTCTGTGGACCGTGAATGTGGGGTCAAAACTCTAAATTGGCATTAAAATTAGAAAGATCATATCAAAGGGAACATGTGTTCTAAGTTTCAAGTTGATTGGACTTCAACTTCATCAAGAACTACCTTGACCAAAAACTTTAATCTGAAGCGACCAAAAACTTTAACCTGAAACGGGACAGATGGACGAACAGACCGACGGACAAACGAAAGGACGCACAGGCCGAAAAACATAATGCCCCTAGGTGGGGCATAAAAATATTGCATGTTCTTTTGTAGTGATGGTAAGCCTATTTTTAAAGAATCTAAGAATAGTGTAATATAAAAGTCATGTATCTTTTGGTATAAAGGAAATAAAATCTACATCACATTTCAATGAATAAATGGGATGCTTTCATTGTCCATTAAATAGGAACAGCATCTGTTAGAAATTATTTATAAGTTATACCTGTAGTTTAATCAGATAATCTTGGTTTTCAAGATATCCATAGTAAAATTCTTTATTTACAGTGATTTTCTATGCACATAAAATTTTGAAAAAAAGTGAATTATATTGTCCGATATTGATAATTCAAAATTAATCTGATAACTAATTTAAAACCCCAAAACTGATTTAAATTACCCAAAAAGTTTAATTATATGGTTCAAAACTGCTTGTATTAATGATAAATCCAATCTTTATTGCAAAATTACACCCATAAGGTTCAAGCAATGACAAATAAAGTACTTACATACAAGAATACAACATAATAAAGACTATAATTTTGAGATAAATGTCACTTTTACTCCAAGTACAATTTAACTTTTGGAATACCATTTTTGTGTCTTGCATGCAAATTCTCTTACATAACAATATGGCAGATGTGATTATACAAAAGGTAGATACATTTTGTAACTCTATTCAAATTACATCCTCCATATTGTTATACAAGGACCTTGCAGACAAGATACAAAAATCTTATTCCTGAAGTTAAATTGTACTTTAATTGAGTAAAAGTGACATATATCTCGATAGTTTAGTCTTTATTATCAATAAAAGCTGTAATAAACCATAAAAAATAAGAGTTTTGGGGTAATATCTATCATTTTGAGGGGTTTTTAATCAGCTTTTTAGAGTTTTCAGGTAATATCTAACATTTTTGGGGGGTTGTGATCAGCTTTTAAGAGTTTTCAGGTAATATCTATCATTTTGGGGGGTTTTAATCAGCTTTTAAGAGTTTTCTTGTTATCTGAGTACCGGTCCCATACTGTAGTTTCAAATAAATTGTTATATTGTTTTGTTGGGTTGCTAATATTTTGTGTGCATCAATAAGACAGCAACCCAACAAAACAATATAACAATTACAGTTACAAACAACAATGATTGTGTTTAAACCAGGGTTGGCAAAAACCTCTTTTTATGAGTATTGCCCAGCCCAGTGGGAAATACTTGGAAAACCCGGGTTTTATTGGGTTTTGTCGGGTAATCCTGGGCAATACTGGGTAATATGAAATACTGGTCTGAATTTTAAAGAGAATCAGTGATTAATCACAAATGCAATACATTAAAGATATTTATAGATAGAAATAAAAAATAGTATTTTAATTTATGATATAAAATAAGAAGATGCATGTGGTTATGATTCAGACTACACGAAATTTGTCGGACGGACAGACAAATCCGGTGAATAATGGATTGGTCTGGTAAAATTTTGTTGAATTCCAGTCCGAATGTCCGGTGTTGTTTTTTTTCATGGATTTTTCTAGCATTCTAGCAAAATTCCCAAATGATCTCGAAATTCATTTTCATCATTATTATTCATGACAGCGATGTTTAATTTGTTCAACCGCTAGCTTTATGCCGAAAATCGCCAACAAGTAATGTGTAAAATTATCCGAGTAAAAACATATCTGACTGTAGTCTCGTTGCACCAGAGTTATCGTTCTTACTGCAAACAATAAATACAATAAATAAATTTTAAAAATCCAAGCAGGTTACAAAATACAGCTATGAAATATAAACACTAGAATTGAAAACCAAAAGATATATGAAAAAGACGGAAGAAACAGGAAATATTTTATACAGAAACTCTAAATAGTTTTAGTTCACAAATAATTTTCAGGTCAAAATCCAATAAAATGTGACATTACTTTTCTTTATCACTGAAATGCATTCAAGCAATTGTGCACAACTTTTATCCCTTTTACACTCTTGTCACATGATTTCGTTTTTGTGCATTTTTGGAGAGGAGTAGGGCACAACAAATCATAAGTTTTTTTGTATTTTTTCGGATACTATATAATTAGATGTAAAAAAAAAATTGGTCTGGTAAAATTTCTTTCGGTCTGGTAAAGCTAGGTTGTTTACCAGACCAAATGTCCTGTAAAAATAAAATTCATTCGTGTAGTCTGTATGATTGCCAATGAGACAACTCTCCACCAGAGACCAAATGACAAAGAAGTTTACCACTATAGGTCACCATACAGCCTTCAACAATGAGCAAAACCCATACCACATAGTCAGCTATAAAAGTCCCCAAAATGACAAATGTAAAACAAAAAAAACGAAAAAAATTAAAAGCCTCAGATTTATGTACAAAACAATGAACAAAAGATCACTTGTTTGAGACTCTTATCATAAAGATATTAATCTGAGAAAGTATTGTTCCAGCAATTCTAAGACAAGTGTACATATGAGGACTCATTAGACAAATGTGAAAAGCTTTTCTCAATAATCCTCCTAAATCTATTAATTCAGCAATCTGTCTAGATTGGTCAAACTGTTAACATATAGCCAAATAATTCAATTCATTTTTTTTAAATATATATAACTATAAAGAATTAACAATTGTATGTAAGGAAAATTACTTTCAAACAATTTTTGTTCATTGCTAAAAATGTTTACTAAGCAGTATATATATATATATATGTACTTCACTAATCAATAAGTAATTATTCAGATTATAACACGCGTACAGATTTGTTTATCTAACAATAATCAGACTTACGTTTCTATAAGTGTTCATGACCTGTCCCCTTAGTGTGTTTGCCCAGCCCAAGTAGTACTTTGCCAATCCTGGTTTAAACCATGAAATTTACTCTTGTACAGAAAAATTACCTTTGCATAAATTGGAAAAAAAAGTTTTGATAAACCTAAATCATCATATTAATTGTCTCTCTTGGAATTTTTTTAAGTAACAAGGCTGACATATCAATTCAAAGTACATTTTGAAATCACTTGGTCCCCACAACTTTTCAACTAAAAATCCTTTACCAGCTATACAATTAATGTATATTCGATTATAAATTGCGCAATGTCTGACAGACTTTCAGCTGTTCAGAAAATGAACAGATACCAGGCTTCAGCATGACTGCTATGTATTAACATATAATATAATTTGTAACAGTACCGCAGGGAGGATAAAACAAATAGGCATAACTAAATTGTATTACCCTACACCCCCAAGACATAGTTGCTTGTCTTGCTGTAAATAATTATAAAGTAAACTAAACTAAAGTAATTGAACAGCAAAATCCAGTTAAGTTTTTAATTTTCTAAAACATTAAATGCATCTGAATTTTTATTTATCTAGGTCATACTATTCCAGATGCACGGGTTTGTCTGTACTCAGAGTAAATTTTGAGGTGTTAACACAGCCACTTTAGCCATAAGGTCCACATGAACCTTAACAAGAGGTCAATATAATTTGACAAAACTTTAAAATATTACAATATATTGTTGTAACTGGTCTCCCTACACTTTTGAAAACTCAGCTTAATGTATGATCTATGTGATCTGTTTTAGTAATTGCATATTTTGCAAGTAGTACATGCAGTAAGGAGTTACCCATTAAAAGAAATCTTGGACTTGGAGGTTACAATACACCATTAGATTTTATGGGCGCAGCCATTTTATGAGCATAACATGGTATTCAGAATTAAGAGTATAGCTAATCCTGATTGGTTGATATGTGCGCCCGTTATTTTTTGTAATTAGAGACTTCGTGCATTCTGCATTATACCGAAGGCCAAATAAATTATTTTCCTTAGCCCTAACGGAACTGAGATGTCTTTTAAACGCTAGGATGAGACACGTATTTTTAAGTGCAAAATTGATAGGCATGGGAGATAAGTACAAATTACGCTAAGAAAAGCAACGCGAACCTATATTTTTTGGACCAAAAAATACTGTCTTAATAACTTTTCTTTAATTCTAGCAAGGTTTCGTTAAAAAAATCAGCTTTCTAAAGTCTGTATCTCGAAAAAGGCTATCATTGTCGCCTATGGGGAAATTAATTGTTTATTATAATCTATACAGCGTCGACATTTCTTTATCATAGTGCTCAAAAAGTGTCAAAAACAGTAATTTTACTTGGTATTTGATTTGAAACCGTATTTTTTGGTGACAAATGAATTATTGATGAACTAGTTTTTAAGCTATAGTCTGTTTCATATTTGTATAGCGTTTTACCTTAGAAACAAGGGTGGGTTCGACTTTTGACTTACTGTGGAGAGAATATGTCATTTTCTGAACTTCTGCTGATTTGTTTGAAAAAAGCACATACACGTCTAGAGTTTGGATATACAAATCGATTTTTAAACATGACAATCTCGATCCAAGTGCTGTTATCGAAATTACCAAATTCAGTGAAAATGTACAGAAATGATCCCCTTCGAACATTGAAATGTTCACTCGAATGGCAGACTATAAAAATTAGAATAGGCATGACATTTTGTAGTTAACGAATAGTTTTCGATGTTTCAACACAAATATTTACACATTTTTCATATTTTGAAATGCTATAGTCTGTTTCAAAAATGTACTTTTATACGAAAATGGTTTCATTTAAAACTGTTGTTCAAAATTCACCGTAGTAGTTACATATTGGATCGGTTTTGGTATCAATATAATCAGTACTTGATGACATATAAAGAATCATTGGAGAAAGTGGACATTATCTTCAGGCCCTTTTTAGCAGTACCGCATTTACTAAAAAAATCAGAAATTTTTTTTCCACATTTTTTGACTGGGGTTACCTCTGATAAAAATTTGTGAAAATTCAGAGAGTAATGCCAGAACGATTTGAAGATGATTTTTGTGTGGCATATATATTTATGCATCTAACGAACTATGAATTGCATGATTCTAGAAAGTATTAAATAGCGTATAGGTTACAATACACCATTAGATTTTATGGGCGCAGCCATTTTATGAGCATAACATGGTATTCAGAATTAAGAGTATAGCTAATCCTGATTGGTTGATATGTGCGCCCGTTATTTTTTGTAATTAGAGACTTCGTGCATTCTGCATTATACCGAAGGCCAAATAAATTATTTTCCTTAGCCCTAACGGAACTGAGATGTCTTTTAAACGCTAGGATGAGACACGTATTTTTAAGTGCAAAATTGATAGGCATGGGAGATAAGTACAAATTACGCTAAGAAAAGCAACGCGAACCTATATTTTTTGGACCAAAAAATACTGTCTTAATAACTTTTCTTTAATTCTAGCAAGGTTTCGTTAAAAAAATCAGCTTTCTAAAGTCTGTATCTCGAAAAAGGCTATCATTGTCGCCTATGGGGAAATTAATTGTTTATTATAATCTATACAGCGTCGACATTTCTTTATCATAGTGCTCAAAAAGTGTCAAAAACAGTAATTTTACTTGGTATTTGATTTGAAACCGTATTTTTTGGTGACAAATGAATTATTGATGAACTAGTTTTTAAGCTATAGTCTGTTTCATATTTGTATAGCGTTTTACCTTAGAAACAAGGGTGGGTTCGACTTTTGACTTACTGTGGAGAGAATATGTCATTTTCTGAACTTCTGCTGATTTGTTTGAAAAAAGCACATACACGTCTAGAGTTTGGATATACAAATCGATTTTTAAACATGACAATCTCGATCCAAGTGCTGTTATCGAAATTACCAAATTCAGTGAAAATGTACAGAAATGATCCCCTTCGAACATTGAAATGTTCACTCGAATGGCAGACTATAAAAATTAGAATAGGCATGACATTTTGTAGTTAACGAATAGTTTTCGATGTTTCAACACAAATATTTACACATTTTTCATATTTTGAAATGCTATAGTCTGTTTCAAAAATGTACTTTTATACGAAAATGGTTTCATTTAAAACTGTTGTTCAAAATTCACCGTAGTAGTTACATATTGGATCGGTTTTGGTATCAATATAATCAGTACTTGATGACATATAAAGAATCATTGGAGAAAGTGGACATTATCTTCAGGCCCTTTTTAGCAGTACCGCATTTACTAAAAAAATCAGAAATTTTTTTTCCACATTTTTTGACTGGGGTTACCTCTGATAAAAATTTGTGAAAATTCAGAGAGTAATGCCAGAACGATTTGAAGATGATTTTTGTGTGGCATATATATTTATGCATCTAACGAACTATGAATTGCATGATTCTAGAAAGTATTAAATAGCGTATAGGTTACAATACACCATTAGATTTTATGGGCGCAGCCATTTTATGAGCATAACATGGTATTCAGAATTAAGAGTATAGCTAATCCTGATTGGTTGATATGTGCGCCCGTTATTTTTTGTAATTAGAGACTTCGTGCATTCTGCATTATACCGAAGGCCAAATAAATTATTTTCCTTAGCCCTAACGGAACTGAGATGTCTTTTAAACGCTAGGATGAGACACGTATTTTTAAGTGCAAAATTGATAGGCATGGGAGATAAGTACAAATTACGCTAAGAAAAGCAACGCGAACCTATATTTTTTGGACCAAAAAATACTGTCTTAATAACTTTTCTTTAATTCTAGCAAGGTTTCGTTAAAAAAATCAGCTTTCTAAAGTCTGTATCTCGAAAAAGGCTATCATTGTCGCCTATGGGGAAATTAATTGTTTATTATAATCTATACAGCGTCGACATTTCTTTATCATAGTGCTCAAAAAGTGTCAAAAACAGTAATTTTACTTGGTATTTGATTTGAAACCGTATTTTTTGGTGACAAATGAATTATTGATGAACTAGTTTTTAAGCTATAGTCTGTTTCATATTTGTATAGCGTTTTACCTTAGAAACAAGGGTGGGTTCGACTTTTGACTTACTGTGGAGAGAATATGTCATTTTCTGAACTTCTGCTGATTTGTTTGAAAAAAGCACATACACGTCTAGAGTTTGGATATACAAATCGATTTTTAAACATGACAATCTCGATCCAAGTGCTGTTATCGAAATTACCAAATTCAGTGAAAATGTACAGAAATGATCCCCTTCGAACATTGAAATGTTCACTCGAATGGCAGACTATAAAAATTAGAATAGGCATGACATTTTGTAGTTAACGAATAGTTTTCGATGTTTCAACACAAATATTTACACATTTTTCATATTTTGAAATGCTATAGTCTGTTTCAAAAATGTACTTTTATACGAAAATGGTTTCATTTAAAACTGTTGTTCAAAATTCACCGTAGTAGTTACATATTGGATCGGTTTTGGTATCAATATAATCAGTACTTGATGACATATAAAGAATCATTGGAGAAAGTGGACATTATCTTCAGGCCCTTTTTAGCAGTACCGCATTTACTAAAAAAATCAGAAATTTTTTTTCCACATTTTTTGACTGGGGTTACCTCTGATAAAAATTTGTGAAAATTCAGAGAGTAATGCCAGAACGATTTGAAGATGATTTTTGTGTGGCATATATATTTATGCATCTAACGAACTATGAATTGCATGATTCTAGAAAGTATTAAATAGCGTATAGGTTACAATACACCATTAGATTTTATGGGCGCAGCCATTTTATGAGCATAACATGGTATTCAGAATTAAGAGTATAGCTAATCCTGATTGGTTGATATGTGCGCCCGTTATTTTTTGTAATTAGAGACTTCGTGCATTCTGCATTATACCGAAGGCCAAATAAATTATTTTCCTTAGCCCTAACGGAACTGAGATGTCTTTTAAACGCTAGGATGAGACACGTATTTTTAAGTGCAAAATTGATAGGCATGGGAGATAAGTACAAATTACGCTAAGAAAAGCAACGCGAACCTATATTTTTTGGACCAAAAAATACTGTCTTAATAACTTTTCTTTAATTCTAGCAAGGTTTCGTTAAAAAAATCAGCTTTCTAAAGTCTGTATCTCGAAAAAGGCTATCATTGTCGCCTATGGGGAAATTAATTGTTTATTATAATCTATACAGCGTCGACATTTCTTTATCATAGTGCTCAAAAAGTGTCAAAAACAGTAATTTTACTTGGTATTTGATTTGAAACCGTATTTTTTGGTGACAAATGAATTATTGATGAACTAGTTTTTAAGCTATAGTCTGTTTCATATTTGTATAGCGTTTTACCTTAGAAACAAGGGTGGGTTCGACTTTTGACTTACTGTGGAGAGAATATGTCATTTTCTGAACTTCTGCTGATTTGTTTGAAAAAAGCACATACACGTCTAGAGTTTGGATATACAAATCGATTTTTAAACATGACAATCTCGATCCAAGTGCTGTTATCGAAATTACCAAATTCAGTGAAAATGTACAGAAATGATCCCCTTCGAACATTGAAATGTTCACTCGAATGGCAGACTATAAAAATTAGAATAGGCATGACATTTTGTAGTTAACGAATAGTTTTCGATGTTTCAACACAAATATTTACACATTTTTCATATTTTGAAATGCTATAGTCTGTTTCAAAAATGTACTTTTATACGAAAATGGTTTCATTTAAAACTGTTGTTCAAAATTCACCGTAGTAGTTACATATTGGATCGGTTTTGGTATCAATATAATCAGTACTTGATGACATATAAAGAATCATTGGAGAAAGTGGACATTATCTTCAGGCCCTTTTTAG